CCACCCACCCCCTCCACCCTTAGTTCCGAAGCCTCCCCGCGCCCACCGCTGTCCTTCCCCATGGAAAGCAGAGCCTTTGGGGCTGACTCTGGCCATTTGGGGAAAATGAAGAGGTTGGTACAGAGGCTGTGCCCACAGTGTTGGAGGCTTTCCCCTGGGGTTCCTTTTCTTCCTGACAATCACCAGTCTTTGTTTAGAACTCCTTTTACGGACATTATGACAAAATCTTCATTCATGAGTTATCGTTTTTATTTTACAGATAATGGAACTGAAGCTCAGGGAGGTTAAGTGGCCACTGAAGTGTCACACCGCTGTGCAGTGAACTAAATTTGATGTCAAACAGAAGTCTTCAACAGATCTTTCTACTGTGCTGCTTGCTGTTTCCCTGCATGGTCTGGGACTTTTGGGGGAAAATGCCCCACAATCTCTGGAGATGCAGTCAGGATAGCTCAGGCTGAAAACCTACATCAGGGAATGAGGCTGTGTGTGCTCACGTAGAGGCAAGCGTCAGGCTGATTGTGCATGCAAAATACTCCATGTTATGGAGCTCAAAACCAGGGCTGAGGTCTTCAGTAGTGCCACTTACCAGCTAGGTGACCATGGGCAAGTGGCTTGGTGTGCCCTGCCTCAGTTTCCCTATCTGCAAAATGGGATTCAGGTTGCTGCCCTGGAGACTGGGGAAGTTAAGAGATTCTGAGATACACTGCTGATGAACCAGCCCTAGACCTGCACGCAGCTGTGTGACGTTTAGGGGTGCTGCCGGAATCTAGGCTGGGCCAATGGAGGTAGGGCAGGAGGCCTCCCTTCCAGGCCCTACAAAATCTTCTCAGACCTGTCTGCTCAGACACCTGAGAGCAAAAAGTGGTTCTGACCCCCACCTCTGCTTCTGGCACAGATCCAATTTAAAATTAAAAAAAAAATTACCAAAACCAAAAATCCAGTGGTAGAAAACTGCTTCCCCGGGCGCCAGTATTTTCCATACAAGATACGCAGGCATTGCTTCTGAGCCCACTGAGAGAAGAAGAGGAAGGGGTTATTTTCCCTCATTCCTCTGGGGGAGAGGCTGGGAGGGGTCAGCTCCTTTCTACCGGCTCCACAGCTCCGCAAAATGCCCTGGGCACATTCACCTGGCCGCACAGCACCCTCCCCAGGATGCCTTTGGGACACCTCCCTCGCCCCTTTGCCACTTCCGTGGCCTGAGCGTGGGTTCGAGCAGGACACAGGGAGAAGAGGGGTCTCATCTGCCCCGAAGGAACCTGAGGCGGCTTCCGGGGACTGCTAGTGTCAACAGGAGGCGGGCCTGGCCTTTCTTACCCTCTGGGGCAACGGATTCCACGAGAACCCTGAGACCTGGGAGTCCCCGGGTCCACCCCAGGAGGTTACCATAAAAACCTCAGCCACATTTCCTGCGTACCCAGCACTTGTCCTGGGCTTCTTATTTACACTTACGGGTTAACAGTCGCCGTAGGAAAAAGGTATTTCCCCCCCCACTTTACCTAAGACTTGGAGAGGTGAAGGGTCTTACCTATGGTCGCACTGAAAATAAAAGGTATCTCTAGGGTTGGAACCCAGGCGAGAGCACTGGAAAGGCTCCAGCCCTCTCGGTGCTGCCTCCTCCGCGCGCCTCACCTCTCGCCCCAGACAGCGCGGTCGCTGGGGCACTGAGCTCTGCGGCACCGGTGCCGCTGTGCCCTGGGGGTGGACGCGAGGGTATCACACCCTCTCCTTCGCAGTCCAAAGAGCCCCTTCTGGACCCTCCGACCCAAGGACCCTCGAGGGGCCCCGGAAGTTGGAGCTCGCTGGGACCCTGTTCCGAGCCGCCGTGGCCACCTGGAAACAAACCCAAAGTGCGCGGTGTGCTGCCGGGCCCGATCCCCGGTGGAGCGCGCCCCTCGCCCGCTCCGAGGACGCGCCGGGAGCTCGGAACCTCCTTCACCGGAGCGGCACAACTTTCCCGGGTTCTGGGAGCCGGCACTGTTACACCTCAGGTCCTCCGGGGCAGGAGTTAGAGG